CCTCCCACCTCTGTCTCTCTGCAACTGTTGTTCCCTCAGCCTGTAATGCTCTTCCCTCAGATATTTGCATGGCCAGTTCTTTTGTGTCCTCAAGTCTTTGCACAAATATCCCTTCCAAAAAACCACCTCTGAAAATCTCTTTAAAATGGCAAGACCTCCATGCCCTGAGACTCTGAGGCCTCATTAACTGTTTTTCCTCCTTGTTTCCATAGCACTTATCACCCACTAGTATATTATATAATTTATTTTTATGTCTGTTGCTTCTTGTCTGATTCTCTTGCTGGAATAAAACCTTCACAAGAGCAAGTGATCTTTTTTGGTTTGTTTTTTTGTTTTCATGGGTTCCCCCCCCCCATGCATTACTGATGGATCCCAAGTGCCTAGAACAATTCCCTGGATGTAGAAGAACCTTAATAGATACTTGTTGAATGAATGAATTTTATGCTTGTGAGATTCACAGCCAAACCAGCGCTGGCCAAGCATCCCCACTGGGTACTGCTCCTTCTCTGACCTCATTGCTGATGTTTGTTCATCTCCCACCACTCCTCATACCCAGCATCCCTCATCCTCCTTTGGCTTACTAATGATAACAATGAAGGCCCTCATAGTCTTCACTAATTAATCCGCTTCACCCTGTCTACCTTTCCCCAAGAGAAGAGCCACCAGAACCTTCCTTCATCTCAGAAACAACAACTGGCAGCACAAGACCACCTCTTGAGAGGGAAGTGAAGCAATGCCTTGGGAGAATGTGTTTTGAAAAAGTGCTCCCTTCTGAGAACAGAACAGTTGAGATGCCCTTTTAAAAAAGATAACCCTATTAATCAAGAATTATGCCAGATACCAAATAGCTAGTTATTCAACAGTGGCAGTGTCAGGAAATAGGTATTGTGTTTACTTAGAGACAGCCTCCCTTCAAGACATCTGGTCTACCTGGAACAGCTTGCTGTTGGGCTTTCAATCTTTGCCAATTTGCACACTACAGTTATGAATGGTGCAGATGCCGACTCTCCACCGTCTAATTGCCAACAGGAGGAAACAACGACTGGCTTCTCCAGTTCTTTATATTCCTCTGGTACATTAATTATCTAAAATGTTTTCTAATGGATTGATATATATTTTTTTAAAGCAAAGAGATTTCCCCGCTCCTCCTTTGTTTTTCATTGACATAAAAACGGAAGAATCTGCTCCCTGGAAACAAATTAACACAGCCAGTTTATATGTTTAAGCTCTCTTGGCAGAGAGACAAAGATGTGAGTGGCTGGTCCGCAGGCCCTGTTCCCTCTCTGTGTGTCAGGTGTGTGCAGCAGAGGTTGGGATAGGTTTCTTTGTCTGGCATGAAATGGATCTGCCTAAAACAAACAAAAACCAACGTGTGCCATTTGAATACACGTGGTTTTCTGAGGTTTTATTTTCAACCTGGAGACTCTCTAAGGCCCCTTAAATATCTTGTAGAGATTAACTCATTGGAAATTGTACCACCCAGCCTTGAGCATCTGTTTACTTTGCTTTACTTGGCTCAAAGTGGCATTTGGTCATTTCTGAGAACAAAACACTTTCAAACACTGTTGAACATATTCACAAATAAGAGACTTAAGGGCATCAGATCCATAGTAAGACATTTAACTTTTCTGAGACTCAGTTTTCCCAGCTGTGAAATGAAAATGTGTATTTCTACCTTACCTAGAATGAGTCCTTGAGGTTGAACACCAATTCAGAGTTGACTACATGTAAATTGAGGCACATGACTATTAACTCCAGAAGGATTTTCACAACTGTCTTGAGCCTTGGCAGTAAAAGTTTCAGTCCATAAGGTCATTACTTTGAATGTGAAAACATCTGCTTAGACTGATCAGAGGAAAATATCTGCTTTGATTGATCAGAGGTGGGTGTTTTGCCTAAAAATCAATCTCATTGCTTCCTGGTCAGTCACCGGAGCCCTAAGCAGTTGTATCTTTTCTGCTCTGAGGGCTTCTCAGGGAAAAGAGGGAGGCATTTTTTCATTACTGTTATGACCTTATTTTAAGCTAGTGTCAGGAACCTGCTACTGGGCCAGATGTTCTGTAGTTGATGGTAGCTGAGGATTCTTTTGCTGCAAATTACAGAAGAGAGAGCCCCACGCATTTCTCAGTTGGACTGTAGCATCTTGGCCATCTGGTCACAGTCTCGAAAACAGAAGTGAGTAGGTAAAAGCAAGGTATCTGCTAACTCAATAATTATTTAAGGAATTCTCCTATGAACCAGTTGCTGTTCTAGTCACTGGAGAATACAGAAAGCAGCAAAGCAAGTTTCTGTTTGCATAAACTTTACATTTTAGTAGAGAAGATAGATGATAGACAGCAAAATATAAAAATAGCAGATGGTGATGTGCAGAGAATTAAAGTCATTTTGATTGAAAGGAAGTCATGAGATGACTAAGATCCAATGGTCAAAGAAGATTTCTCCAAGGAGGTATCTATCAACAGATGAATGGATAAAGAACATGTGGTATATACATACAATGGGATATTACTCAGCCATAAAAAAGATGAAATAATGCCATTTGCAATAAGGATGGACCTATAGAATATTATGCTTATTGAAATAAGTCAGAGAAAGACAAACACTCTATGTTATTACTTATATATGGAACCTAAAAAATAACACAAACAAATATATATAGCATAACAGAAACAGACTCAGATATAGAAAGCAAACTAGTGGTTACCAGTGGGGAGAGGGACGGGGGAGGGTCAAGATAGGAGTATAGGATTAAGAGATAAAATGACTATGTATAAAATAAACAAGCAACAAGGCTATAATGCATAGTACAAGGAAATATAGCCGTTAGTTTGTAATAATTTTAAATGGAGAATAAGTTTTTGTGTGAACATACATTCCATTTCATATGTTACCTGGGAGTGGGACTGCTGCATCATGTGACAAATTTTGTGTTTAATTTTATAAGAAACTGCCAATTTCTTTTCCAAAGTGGCCATAGCATTTTGTATGTATGTGTACACATGCAGCATATGAGTCTGTATGTATGTATAGCAAGGAGATCAAACCAGTCAATCCTAAAGGAAAATCAACACTGAATATCCATTGGAAGGACTGATGCTGAAGCTGAAAGTTCAATACTTTGGCCACCTGATGTGCAGAGCCGACTCATTGGAAAAGACCCTGATGCTAGGAAAGATTGAAAGCAGGAGGAGAAGGGGGAGACACAGGATGAGATGGTTGGATGGCATCATTGACTCAATGAATATGAGTTTTGAGCAAACTCTGGGAGATAGTGAAGGACACAGAAGCCTGGCGTGCTGCACTCCACGGGGTCGCAGAGTGGGACAAGACTGAGTGACCGAACAACACACACACAAAAATACCTATGGGGAGGGAAGTGGGAGGGGGTTTCAGGATGGGGAACACATGTCCACCCATGGCTGATTCATGTCAATGTATGGCAAAAACCACTACAATATTGTAAAGTAATTAGCCTACAATTAAAATAAATAAATTAAAACAATACTGAACTATGCTGTACACCTGAAAATAATATCATATTATAAATCAACTATACTTCAATAAAAAAAGAAATACTCCACCCTCCAGACTCCTTATTCCTCTTTGTTTTAGTTTTCTCCATAGTGCTTCATATCATAGGATACTTTAAATTTGTTTTTAATTACCTATTTCCCCTACCAGAATATGAGCTCCATAAAGGGGAAAAAGGGAAATATTGTTGATTGAATGAATGACAGAATACATTACATTTCATAGAGATGAAGTGACTTGCTTAGAGTCACACACACAGTTCATAGCAGAGTAAGGATCAGAACCCTGTGTTCTTTGCACTACGTCAACTAATGCTTCCCGCATCTGAACTAGTACACACTGGACAGTAGATTTTCTGAGAGAGAAAGAGCAACTAGGGGGGAGAGAGAATGCTTCCTGTAGGTGGTGATGTGTGCACGTGTGTGTGTATGTGCTCAGTTGCTCAGTTGTGTTCAAGTCTTTGCCATCCCATGGACTGTGTAGCCCGCCAGGCTCCTTTGTTCATGGGATTTCCCAGGCAAGAATCTTGGAGTGGGTTGCCATTCCCTTCTCCAGGGGGTTTTCCTGACCCAGGGAATGAACTCACATCTCCTGCATTGGCAGGCAGATGCTTTACCACTGAGCTACCTGGGAACGCTGAGTCCTAAAAGATATGTGAAATTTAGTTATCTAAAGGCAGGATGGGGCTTTCAAGGTTGGAGGGCACAACATGAAGAAACAGTCAGGGGCATGGAAGTGTTGTGTGTGCAGGAAATGTAGTCAGTTTGGTGTTGCTTGTTCTATAGTGAGAAGAAGGGAGAAGAGAGATGAACCTTGAGAGGCAGGCAGGGACCAGGTCATGAACTGTATCTTATAGTCAGTGGCTTCCAATTTTAATTGCATAATGTTTTTTTTAATTTAAAAGCAATTATTTCTAAGAATCTCAATGCAGAAAGCAAACACAGAGTGGGCTTTCCTTGTCTGAGGTGGAAGTAGATCTCAGTTCAGATAGCATCTCATTTACCTTCTTTCACTCCGCCAGGTAAGGCACCCCATGGGCTCCATATGAACCTAGTTTGAAAACCATGGTTTTAGTGATGAGGAGTTATAGACTAGTTTAAAGCAGGATACTATCTGGCCAGACAGCAATTTGAAATACATCCTTCTGGAGGCTTTGGGAAGAAGGAGGAACATAAGAAGGCCAGTTGGGAGAATAAAGAAGGAGTCTATGGCAGAAGATGAAGGGATAGAGAATTGTGTTGGGGATAAAATCAGCAGGACTACTTATTTGATTATTTGGGGGAGCAGGAAGGAAAGGATGTGTAGGAACTCTTCCAGGTGCCTAACTTAGATGCCTGGGCCAATGGAAATGTGCCTGACACACTGGTACTCAAGTAGTAGTTTTGTTGGGAAAGGTGATGAATTCATTTTGTGACGTGCTGAACTCGAATAGACTGTAAAACACTCAGGCGGTGTGCATAGGATGTCCAATGTACACACCCGAACCAAAGGGCTATGGTGACAGGTGAGTCAGTTCAGTTGCTCAGTTGGGTCTGACTCTTTGTGACCTCGGGGACCGCAGTGCGCCAGGTCTCCTTGTCCATCACCAAGGAACAGAGCTTGCTCAAACCGATGTCCATCAAGCCAGCGATGCCATCCAACCAACTCATCCTCTGTCGTCCCCTTCTCTTCCTGCTTTCAATCTTTCCCGGCATCAGGGTCTTTTCCAACGAGTCAGTTCTTCACATCAGGCGGCTAAAGCTTTGGAGTTTCAGCTTCAGCATCAGTCCTTCCAATGAACACTCAGGACTGATTTCCTTTCGGATTGACTAGTTGCATCTCCTTGCAGTCCAAGGGACTCTCAAGAGTCTTCTCCAACACCACAATTCAAAAGAATCAATTCTTCGGCATTCAGTTTTCTTTACAGTCAAGCTCTCACATCCACACACGACTACTGGAAAAACCATACCTCTGACTAGACGGACCTTTGTCGGCAAAGTAATGACTCCGCTTTTTAATATGCTGTCTAGGTTTGTCATAGCTTTTCCTCCAAGGAGCAAGTGTCTTTTAATTTCATGGCTGCAGTCACCATCTGCAGTGATTTTGGAGCCTAAGAAAATAAAGTTTGTCACTGTTTCCACTGTTTTACTTTGTTATGAAGTGATGGGACTGGATGCCATGATCTTAGTGTTCTGAATGTTGAGTTTTAAGCCAACTTTTTCACTCTCCTCTCACTTTCATCAAGAGACTCTTTAGTTCTTCTTTGCTTTCTGTCATAAGGGTGGTGTCATCTGTATGTCTGAAGTTATTGATATCTCTTCTGGCAATCTTGATTCCAGCTTGTGCTTCATCCAGTCTGGCATTTCACATGATATACTCTGTACATCATTAAATAACCAGGGTGACAATATACAGCCTTGACGTACTCCTTTCTCAATTTGGAACCAGTCTATTGTTCCATGTCCAGTTCTAACTGTTGCTTCCTGACCTGCATACAGATTTCTCAGCAGGCAGTGGTTTGGTATTCCCATCTCTTGAAGAATATTCCACAGTTTGTTGTGATCCACACAGTCAAAAGCTTTGGCATAGTCAATAAAGCAAAAATAGATGTTTTTCTGTAACTCTCTTGCTTTTTCGATGATCTAACGGATACTGGCAATTTGATCTTAGGTTCCTCTGCCTTTTCTAAATCCAGCTTGAACATCTGGAAGTTGTTGGTTCACGTATTGTTGAAGCATGGCTTGGAGAATTTTGAGCATTACTTTGCCAGTGTGTGAGATGAGTGCAATTGTGTGGTAGTTTGAACATTCTTTGGCATTGCCTTTCTTTGGGATTGGAATGAAAACAGACCTTCACCAGTCCTGTAGCTACTGCTNGTCATACCTGAATGGTCTAGTGGTTTTCCCTGCTTTCTTCAATTTAAGTCTGAATTTGGCAATAAGGAGTTCATGATCTGAGCCACAGCCAGCTCCCAGTCTTGTTTTTGCTGGCTGTATAGAGCTTCTCTATCTTTGGCTGCAAAGAATATAATCAATCTGATTTCAGTGTTGACCATCTGGTGATGTCCATGTACAGAGTCATCTCTTCTGTTGTCTGAAGAGGATGTTTGCTATGACCAGTGCATTCTCTTAGCAAAACTGTTAGCCTTTGACCTGCTTCATTTTGTACTCCAAGGCCAAATTTGCCTGTTACTCCAGGTATCTCTTGACTTTCTACTTTTGCAGTCCAGTCCCCTATGGTGAAAAGGTCATCTTTTTTGGGTGTTAGTTCTAGAAGGCCTTGTAGGTCTTCATAGAACCATTCAACTTCAGCTCTTTCAGCATTACTGGTTGGGGCATAGATTTGGATTACTGTGATATTGAATGGTTTGCCTGGGAAATGAACAGAGATCATTCTTTGTACATTCCATGGAATTCTCTAGGCCAGAATACTGGAGTGGGTAGCCTTTCCCTTCTCCAGGGGATCTTCCCGACCCAGGGATTGAACTCAAGTTTCCTGCATTGCAGGCAGATTCTTTACCAGCTGAGCCACAAGGGAAGCCCTGTGACAGATCAGTGAGGCACAAAATATGATAAAATGTTAATTATCAAATGTTAATTCTTCAGGGGATAGTGGGTGTAAATAATTGAGCAATGTTCTCAGAGCTGGAGTTGGCAACTAAAATAAAAGGGATTCTTGAGAAATGAGGCTAAAAAACTAATAAGAGCAGTAAAGGAAGCATTGCGTCTTTTAATTTTCTTCCTTCCTTCCTTTTTCTTTTTACTTTCTACCTTGCATGTCTTAGTAGTCTATGGTGTTGGGTGTTGGGACTAGAGGTAACAAGGCAAGACAAGCTGGTTTTAAAGTTTATTATTTTGATTAGTATTAAATAAGATGATGAATCATGCCATACATTTGTAAGTTTTCATTTTTCTAAACTCTTTTTGTCCTATTAGTCCTTAAATTACCCTGTAAGTTAGACAAGAAAGTTATTACTATCCAATTTGGGTGATGACAAAAAGCAAGACCAAAAAAGCTAAGTGATGACAACAGTTTCTATAAAGTATGAGGATTATTATGAGAAGCACTGGTTCCTAGGAATAAGTCTAGTGTCAGAAGGGTGACTTTTGCATAAAGCTTTGTGGAATAAAAGTCTCTCAAGTTCCACCAACATAATTCAATTTTTATCTCATATTTGATTATCTTAAAGGAGATTCAAAACCTAAACGTGCCACATAGGGCATTAGAAAGAGCAACAGACAAGGCACTAGGATTTCTTGGTTCTACTCCCATATCCATAAATAAAAGTGACCCTTGAAATATCACCTAACTTTTCTTAGTGTTGACTTCCTCATCTGGAAACTTTATGGGTTAAAATACATTTGTATATTTCCATTCCCTTCCTTATTTTGTGCAACGCAGATATACAAGCACACCTTCCTAAAGATCAATAGATACGTGATATTTTGAGATCCTTTCTACTTTGGTAATTCTGTAATCAAGAAGGCTAGATTTTACAGGAACAAATTTATGATCAGAGACTTTTACCAGTCAATTGTAAATCTATGAAATAGAAAATTACTAGCTCATTCTCCTATGAGTTGAACTTTATTCAAAGTTAAGAACCACATTTGCTACATGTACCTTCCAGTGGGCCTTATTAGGTCACCTAATTTTCTTTATATCTTTAATCCCCACCCTCGCTCACCCATTTTGCTCAGGCATATACCAAAAATCTGTCAAAGTAGGAAGGATCATAATTACTGCTTTCCTACTGAATCTCCTCCTGTCTGATAAAGTACGGAAAGAAAAGGGGGAGGAGGTCATTTAGAAGATTCTAAGAGTGTATAATTTTCAGAATGTGATTGTTACTATGATATACCCTGCAACAATATTTTGAATTCCTATGCAACTTTGTATAAAAAGAAAACCATAAAGGTTCATATGTGTCAGAGACATATTTTAATATTTCAGACTCATTTCAAGCCTCTTAGATCTGGACTCACTTTTATGCTATCTTTCTCACATAATGTTCCTGCATCTGGGCCCCTGACTAGACAAAAACTAATTAAATCACTTTGAATAACAACACTTCTGCTTAATGGATAAATTGCTCTAGTTCTGAAGGCTATCATGAGGGTGAACTTAAAGGAAGATAAATGTACAAATACGGCTGCATTGAAACCGCTTATTTCAGGCTTTTGAAATCTCAATCATTCATTTATTAATTAGTTCATTCAATTACTATTTATTGAAAAGCTACCATATGGCATCAACTCTATTCTAGGCACTGCAGAGAGGAAATCAAGATGAACAAGACTTGATTCCTACATCAAGGACTGTAGCAGACACTGTTGCCTACTCAACATGTACGCTTTTTCTCTTCTCAGTGGAAATAAGGCCCCCTTTCAAGGCCACCTGAGGATCCACCTCTGATCCAGTACCTCCTCCTATACACACAAACAGTGTGTCCTGTCTCCAGACGAGGTCATCAAGTCTGAAGCTGTGGCTATCATCTTGCAACTATGAGACAATAAGCATGAAGATAGAAAGTCAAGATACTCAAGACAGTAGGGTAGAAGCTGGACAACGTTGAGTTGTAGACCCTACCTTGACTGCTGGCCTTCAGATTTCTTATTTTATGAAATAAATAAGTCTCTTTTCTGCTTAAACCTGTGAAAATCATGTATTCTGTTACTTGCACCTGAACACCTGCCTAACTGATACAGGGGGTTAACACTGGTTGTGGGAGGATGGCATGAAATAATTTCTAAGGTAACTATAATGGAAGAGATACAATAAGGCAATTATGCAAAAAAAACTAGAGTATAAGATAGATAACCATTATGATATCCCAGACTGGTATAATAGTTTCCAATTTAGAAAAGGTTTCTGTATATATCATCAGGATTTATAGCAATCCTATGAGGCAAGGATTATTACCTCCAATTTGAAAATAATAATACAGAGGTTCTAAGAGGTTAAGTCATTTGTCAGACATCACACACAAGCAAAGTGAAATCATCAAACAAATGCACCTTAATTTCCATCACATTGTGCTTTCCACTATACCACAGGTACCTCAACCAGAACAAGAGCCAGGGGCCTGGGGAAACCCCATGAGAGGTGGAGAGAAGAGGGTACGGAGTGGACAACAATGCTGAGAGGAAGGAAACGTATCAGGAAGGGAAACAACAGAAGCCACCTGAAGAAGGGACACCTTTTGAGCTGGGCCCTAAAGGATGGGTGTGTGCTAAGTCGCTTCACTTGTATCTGACTCTTTCTGACCCCATGAACTGTAGCCCACCAGGCTCTTCTGTCCATGGCATTTCCCAGGCAAGAATACTGGAGTGGGTTGCCTTGCCCTCCTGGGAATCTTCCTGACCCAGGGATTAAACCCGCCTCTCTTATGTCTCCTGCATTGGCAAGTGAGTTCTTTACCACTAGCACCACCTGGGAAGCTCAAAAGATGGGTGGGGATTTAGAAAAGGATCAGAGGAAAGACCATTCTAGAAAAAGAGAATATTATGAAGATGCAAGTTACAC